AGTGGTCACCGGCAGTGCTTCCCTGCCACACACATCAGGAAGGTCAAGCGGTAAGTCCCTCAAGCTGCTCATGACCGCAGGGTGTGTGGGTTGTGCTTTATAGGTTTCATTTAGTGACCTGACGAGCCAATAAAGTGAGGCCGAGAGCCCACGAGCCCGAGAGCCCACGAGCCCACGAGCCCATTTTCTGTTTTTGGTTTCAGTAAACACCTGTGACCGTGGTACCGCAAACAAATGATGGTCGCAAAGCAGCTTTTGGAGTTGACTATGAACGTTAAACCAGCAAGTGGCCAAGCGCCCCTGTGTTATGGAAGCACAATTTAGTTTGTTAAATTATAATCGTTTATTTTTATATCTTTCTGTGCCTTTTTCCCGTGGACTTCCCATCACCAATTCACCGCGTGCCATCGGTATAGTCCCGTGCACTCCCCTCACCATTTTCGATCCCACAGAAGCCCATGCTTTAAAGAGGAGCTTCTCTGCTCTGCTGTCTTCCCAGCCTCATGCCCGGGTGTCGTTTTTCTGAGCAGTCTGTCCCACCGGCCTGCTGTCCCTAACCTCCCTCGCAGCTCTCCCTTCCTGACGCTAACCAGGGAGAAAGTGGCTTTTGTGAAAGTAAATTCTGCCCAGCCAATTGTGTCAGGTAACATCCTACCTGAAGGGCCTGACGCTGGCAGCAACATGTCCCAGAGAGAAATCTGGTCTTTTTATCCAGCGGACCAGTGACAGCACCAGGCTTCCAGAGCCTAATTGTAGTGGTTTTAATATCGAGTCTATTGAAATATCTGTTTGTTGTGTTGTCCTGGGAATATCCAGAAAGCCAAGGAAGGTATAAAACAACCTTCTCTCAGTAGAACAATTCCCCCTGGGGCAAGATACATCATAGCTTGGTGAGAAGCTTCACAAAGCCAGGCATCTCCACCACTTGGGTGAACGCCACAGAAGCTGTGCAGAAGTCCACCAAATCTCACTCGTAGAAAACTTAGAAGCCATTGATTTTTCACAGGCAAACTGAAAACACAGTAAGTTGTATCCTGAATCCCAAGGGAAATGGTACTAGCTCTGGTAGTAACTCTGCTAGTAACTCCCCAGTGGGTGACGGCAGACACAGGCGAGGAGGAGAAAGCGGCCGGGAGCTTGCTGTGGACCTTGGCTGAGCCCTGTTGCAAAGTGGCGTCCACGTGTTCCTCTAACCAAATACACGGGTGTTTCTTTAGCCAGGTCACAGACCAGGGCCCTCCCCACTGTCAATAATTCCCGCCATGTCTCTTGGACCATCCAAGGGACCAAGAGCAGGGGTCAAAGGAGGACAGCCACAGGGCAGAGGGCAGCACTCCTGGGCGGCCGCCGGCAGGGGTGGCTGCCAGAAAGTAGATGCAGCCCTGGGTGTGACTCAGAGCCCAGATGCGGTGAGGGTGAGGCTGTGCCCCTCAGCTGTCTGGTCTACCTCCTCCAAGCTCAGTCACACGAGGACTGGCTCCTGGCGCTGGAAGGACAGCAAAGGTCACTAAACTCGGTCCAGTCCAGGGCCGGGGCGAGAGTGGACTCCGCTTAGAGCTCATTCGCAATGCAAATGTCTGCTTCACTGGCAGCCTGTCTGGCGCCCTGAAAGGAGAAGGGAGGTGTAGAGGCAGCAAGGTGCAGGCAGGTTCTCTGCAGCTCCGGGCAGGCTCAGTGGCTTCTAGTGACCTTTCTATGCCATTTGCAGTGTGGACCCCACACGCGGGGCAGGCAGAGGGGCTCAGGGCTAAGCCTCCCAGCCCCGGTGAGTCTACACCCTCTGGCTTGCTCCGGAGTCACCTCTCGGTCTTTCCTCTTGCAGCTACACTGCCGCTCTCTGAGACACCATCCTCATCACGC